CCTGGCTTCCATTCTCACTCTACTGCTTATTACCTGTGTTGAGCAGGTTAGTTCTACCTGCAATTTCTATATCTGTAATATAAGTTCTGTCTCTACTAAATTCCATAACCCAGCAAGGTTATCATTATATTATATATATAATACATATTTGTACATAATAAAAATATAAAATATAATTATATATAATGATTATGTAGTATTAGTTATATATTATTATATTATATTTTCATGACTAAGATTAACAATAGTTCTCTAAGATTATCTAATTTTCACATTCAAATTTCCTCAATTGTTCCACCAAAAATTTATAGGCATTTTATTTTTCAGGACTTAATAGTCCCTTTTAATTTGGAGCATTCTTTTGCTTTTTTTTTCCCCTGAGATTTTAAAGAAACTGAGTCAATTGTTTTGTAACCTGTCTCATATTCTGAATTTGTCTGAATATTTCTTTATGGTGCATTTAATTTACTCTTCCATCCCCCATGGTTTCTTTAATTGGAAGTTAATTCTAAAGGCTCAATTAGGTTGAGTTGGACATTGTGGTAGCAGTGCTTTGTAGAATTACTGCTCACTTCCTATTGCATCTCATCAGGAGGCACAAATGCCAGCTTGCCACACTCTCAGTGATGCTGCATTAACGTGGTTAGCGTAGGAGCCTCCATAGCTTTCGATTCTAATGGTCCACTTTCCCCTTGGAAATTAGCAACCTGTAGGGTGATACTTTATCACATTGCCCATCACTGACCAAATAAATTATTTCACTGATTTTGCAAAATGGTCATCTTCTAACTCTCTCATTCCTTGTACATGTGTCAGCCTTCATTCCTCGGTAAAACTCTAATTGCTGAGTCATCATACCTTGTGTTATATTTTTCATTTGAAAAACATAATTAAAGTAAAAGGGAATACAAACCTACAGACAAGGCTTATTTCAAACTTAATATGCTGGTGAAAGAAATTTTCTTTTGTGGGAGATTTTCCTTTTAAGGAAGATCAGAGGCACTCTCAGAAGTATTAAAGGGGAACTGGCTGAAATTCTCTAGCTCGCTTTCTTTGAGACACTAGTAATTTTTATTTTAAAATTTTTGTTTATTTTTTAAAGAAAGAATTAAAATTTTATAGTCCATAAATCCTCAGTTTCAAGTCTTTTGACTTCCTTACTCTGTGGTATATTCTGGAAAATTCAAGCTTTGAAATTGTTCCTTGGGGGCTTGTTTCACAAACTCTTAACTCTCCTTTTTGCTTTTCTTTTCTCTTCTTTCTTTCTTTTTTGCAGAGATGTGCTTTTGGAATATGTTTAGGCTAAAGAAGGAAATTTCTTTTGTCATTTTAATGGAACGCTTAGATTATTGTTAAGCAGCAAGTTCCATAGACACATGGCAAGAAAGTGGTCAATTTATCATAGTTTACTGTACAGTTCTCTCAGTTGCCCGCTTTTGAACTTTAGGCCTATTTCATTTCATCAGTGGAGAGAGTTGAAATAAAGCAGCTATTGAGTCAAGGTGTTGGGGAAAGAAGAGAATGGATTGGCGTTTGTGCTCAAACTGGCCTAAGATGACCCTACTTTTAGCCTGGACTTCTGAGATTTGTCCCCCTCTTCTCCCACGGTCAGATGCTACTTTAGATTTGGGCTGTTATAACTGAAGTCCAGCTTGATATTCACGTGGCCTGTTACCTGCTCTCTGACCATTACCCCACTCGAAAAACAACTCACTGTCCATTGTCTAGCCTATCATCCAACAAATAGATCTGAGTGCTCAGTTTGCCTGGCCCCATGCTGGGCTCTGGAGATTTGGTGGGGTCCAGATGAAGTAGTTCTGCCTCTGTGCAACTGACATCCTCATGGGGCAGAGAGACAGCAAATGAGTGAACGGACAGGATGATTTCTGATAGTGATGGTTCCATAAAGAAATAAAACAGGGTGACCTGATGGAGGATGATGGGGGAGTTACTTTACGGAGAGTAGCCAGGAAGGGCCTCCCTGAGAAAGACTTGAATGATGAGAAGAAATCAACCATACATCTGGGAAGGGATGAGCATTCCACGTAGAGGAAACTGCAAGTGCAAGGGTCCTGAGGTGGAAAATGAATTTGGCATGTTTGGGTGGCAGAAAGAAGGTCAGTATGGTTGGAGCATAATAAACAAGAGGAGAGTGGCAGGAAGTGAAATCTGAGAAGTAAGCAGGGTCCTGATCACATAGGACATTGTAGCCGGGCTAAGAACTTTGGAATTTATTCTAATTGGAAAGGGAAGCCATTACCGTATTTAACATGAGATGACATGATCTGACTTATGATTTAAAAAAAATCACTCTGGTTGCTGTGTAGCAATGTAGAGAGACTAAGTAGAGAAAAATTAGGAGCCGTAGTGGTCTCCAGATTTAGTTATAGGCAGCTTCATTTTTAATTTGGATGGTTCCATTCTGTTCTCATTGTTCTCTCATGTTCTTCTGAGACATGGAGAAGAACAATTTCTGGTTTTTGTAAAATGAAAATTTTGATATTTGAGAATATCAGGAAGTGTAATTAGAAAGTATAGTGAATAAGGGCAAAATCAATTTTATCGAACAGCATATGATACGCTTGATTCAGTGAGACAACGTACCTTTCGTTTATCCAATAGATATTGAGTGTCTTCTCTGTACCAAGCACTGTTCTAAGTGTCAACAAAAGATAGAGATAGTTCATCCGCTATTTAACTGTTTTAATTTATCTTATTATTTTTTATAGTAATTATTAATTTATTTTATAATTAATTTGTTTTATAAATTGTCATTCTAGTTAATAGATAAACAGAAAACTTCCCTGGACAAAAATATGTTTAATAGTTGAAAGTTATATCTAGGTATGCCCAGTCTTTACATTCTCTACCATTTTCTCCTCTGGGCTTCTCCTAACTCTGTCTTCAAATCCCAAGTTCTTTTGTCTTGCTCCTGTTTTTCCTCAAATGAAACAACTGAGAACAGGAAAATATTTTTTTTAACTCTAAAATACTCCACAAGTATAAGATTTGATTAGTAGTAGTAACTTTTAGACTGTCTTTTGGATCTATATTCATGACAATTGTATAAATGAATCATAGGAGCTTAAAACTTTTTTAAAGCAAAATGGCCCATCTCCCCATTCTCTTCTCCACCCCTCTCCCTGCCCCCCCAACCCCTCAACAGGTCTGGGACTAGGGTGAGGGAGTGAGATAAGGTCATGCAAGACTGAATTATACATGTGCAGGGATAGATCCTGTCTTTATTTTAAAATGATATTCTGTTCAACATGGATTTTTTTATATTAATTTTGATCTTAAAATGTTGCGTTAAAATATTACTTATCTTGATTACCGAGGTTTTTGGCACCTCCTTAAATTTTGCAACTGAGGCAATTGCCCATCTCATCTCACCCTAGTCTCTGTCCTGCTCTCCTGCAAATACATCCCCTTCCCCCACAATCTCCTGTAGCCCCAGCCCAGCCCTGGTCATGTCACTGTATTTTGAAAAGGTTTTCTATGTGCATCTGATATAATCCCAAGTTTAGACCTGCTACAGAAAAGGAAGAGAGTTCTAATGGTGTCATTTTTATTTTTTTTGTGAGGAGATCAGCCCTGTGCTAACCTCTGCCAATCATCCTCCTTTTTTGCTGAGGAAGACTGGCCCTGGGCTAACATCCGTGCCCATCTTCCTCCACTTTATATGGGATGCCACCACAGCATGGCTTGCCAAGCAGTGCGTCGGTGCGTGCCCCGGATCTGAACCGGCGAACCCCGGGCCGCCGCAGCAGAGCGCACGCACTTAACCGCTTGCGCCACTGGGCCTGCCCCATCATGGTGTCATTTTTCGAGGAGACCCTTTAGATTGATATTGACCCTCCAGAAGATTTCCCAGGTGCCTTTCAATAAGTAATTCTAAGAAAGGTGTGTTGGTTGTAAAAGTTCTCAAATGGCATAGGGAGCTTTTAAAACTAATTATACCGTTTTCCATGCCCTTTTTACCTCCCTTAAGGAAGAAGGCAGGTGGCGGACAGGACAGAGACAGGGAGGAACAAGGGCAATGCCACAGTTTGACGGCATCTTCTAGGAACAGAGTGTGTGATGTTTGCTTGGAAGATGTGTAGGTTTGGGTTCACGGCTCATAGATTCATTCGTATTATATTAAAGCCCAACTAGCTTCATGAGTCCTTGTGATTCAAGATGAGTTGAAGATTTACTGTTTCTAGAGGACCCAGTGTAGTGCAGTTGAAAGGATAACTACCATCTGTCTTTGGTGCCATCTGGGCTCCTGGTCATTTCATCTCCTCAGATTAAGACCCAGGATGGTTTGACTCTCCCTCTTCTTAGCTTTCTGTGTAAACAGCAGAATTAAAGTCACCCTGTCTGAGTTTGAAACCTAACTCTTCCCTTGGTTCCTTTGTGGATTTGGGCCTCTCTCTGAACCTCAGTTTCCTCATTTGTAAAGCGATTATAACAATTCCTTCTTCAACAGGCACCCACGTCTATGAAATGATATGACATTTGGAAAGGCTGACATGACCTAACGTGATGGTTATTCAATACATGTGTGATCATGAATGTGTTTAAACTACATTAAGAGTTGTTTGCACATTTCTAATTGGTTTTTGTAAGGTGATAGATTAGGGCAGGCATATTTTATATGACTATCGGTTATTCTTAGTTATACACGATATCTAAGACCTTTTACTAATACTAATCTTGTACTTGTAAATATTGGAGATAATATATATAAAGCAACTAGCACAGTAGAATATCCTAGGGATTCAGGCCATGAAAATAGATTTAACAACTTAATTTTTTCATTCAACTGCAACCTCAATTTCAAACAAATATGTTTAAGACACATGTAAAGCATTAATTAATAGAATGTAGACCATTTAATTAGTTATTCTGGAAGAAACATTATTTAAAAAGAAAACATAGCTAAATAAAAAACCCCAAATAATTGTTTTCTACTCTTTGTGATTGAAGTTGGAAATGTTTTTATCTTTTATCTTAAGGTACTAAATCAAACTTCTCGACTTGAAATACAACTGCTGGAGAATTCATTATCAACATACAAACTAGAGAAGCAACTTCTTCAACAGACAAATGAAATCCTAAAGATTCATGAGAAAAACAGGTGAGAATTGTTGTAGTCCAAAAATAGTTGTGTATGTACTTATTTATATCCTACACCTCTCTGCCAACTCTTAAAAAAAAAAAAAAGATTGAAGTGGTTTGCAAAAAAAGAAATATAGAGGACCAACCCTGGTGGCCTAGTGGTTAAGGTCAGTGCACTCTGCTTCAGTGGCCTGGGTTTGGTTCCCCAGCATGGACCTACACCACTCATCTATCAGTGGCCACGCTGTGACAGCATCTCACATACAAAATAGAGGAAGATTGGCAACAGATGTTAGCTCAGGGCGATTCTTCCTCAGGAAAAAAAAAAGTAATAAAGAGCCCAATGAATTTTTAGTATAAAAATAAAAGAGAGCTTAAGGTGAATGCAGCAAGGATGTCAACAATAAAATTAATACTGTTGCTTACACTCTTGAAATATTTGCTTTTTATAACTTTTAACACTAATCTATCTAATGTTCAGTTGTTCAAATCCTACCATAACTACAGAAATTACAGGCGTAACTTGGAGATATTGACCTACAGAAATTACAGGCATAACTTGGAGATATTGTGGGTTCTGTTCCAGACTACTGCAATAAAGCGAATATCACAATAAAGTGAATGTTGCAGTAAAGTGAATATCGCAATAAAGTGAGTCACATGATTTTTTTGGTTTCCCGGTGCATATGAAAATTATGTTTACACTATACTGTGGTCTATTAAGTGTGCAATAGCATTATGTCTAAAAAAACAATGTATGGACCTTAATTTAAAAATACTTTATTGCTAAAAAATGCTAACCATCATCTGAACCTTCAGTGAGTTGTAATCTTTTTGCTGGTGGAAGGGCTTGCCTCAGTGTTTATGGCTGCTGATTGATCAGGGTGGTGGTTGCTGAAGCCTGGGGTGGCTGTGGCAATTTCTTAGAATAAGACAACAATGAAGTTTGCCCCATTGATTGACTGTTCTTTCACAAACGGTTTCTCTGTAGCACGCGATGCTGTTTGATAGCATTTTACCCACAGTAGAAGTTCTTTCAAAATTGGAGCCAGTCCTCTCAAACCCTGCCGATGCTTTATCAACTAAGTTTATGGAGTATTCTAAATTCTTTGTTGTCATTTCAACAATCTTCACAGCATCTTCACCAGGAGTAGATTCTATCTCAAGGAACCACTTTCCTTGTTCATCCCTAAGAAGCAACTCATCATCTGTTAAAGTTTTATCATGAGATTGCAGCAATTCAATCACATCTTCAGGCTCCACTTCTAATTATAGTTCTCTTGCTATTTCCATCACATCTGCAGTTATTCCTCCACTGAAGTCTTGAACCCCTCAAAGTCATCCATGAGGGTTGGAATCAACTTATTCCAAACTCCTCTTAATGTTGATATTTGGACCTCTTCCCATGAATCATGAATGTTATTAACATCATCTAAAATGGTGAATCCTTTCCAGAAGGTTTTCAATTGATTTTGCCTAGATCCATCAGAGGAATAACTATCTATGGAAGCTGTGTCTTATGAAATGTATTTCTTAAATAATAAGACTTAAAAGTCAAAATTCCTCCTTGATCCATGGGCTGCAGAATGGATGTTGTGTTAGCAGGCATGAAAACAACGTTAATCTCATTGTACATCTCCATCAGAGCTCTTGGGTGACCAGGCACATTGTCAATGAACAGTAATATTTTGAAAGGAATCATTTTTTCTGATCAGTAGGTCTCAACGGTGGGCTTAAAATATTTTGTAAACCATGTTGTAAACAGATGTGCTGTCACGCAGGCTTTGTTGTTCCATTTATAGAGCACAGGCAGAGTAGAGTTAGCATAATTTTAAGGGTCCTAGGGTTTTTGAATTGGTAAACCAGCATCGGCTTCAACCTAAAGTCACCAGCTGCGTTAGCCCCTAGCAAGAGAGACAGCCTGTGCTTTGAAGCTTTGAAGCCAGGCATTGACTTCTCCTCTCTAGCTGTGAAAGTCTTAGATGGCGTCTTCCAATAGAAAGCTGTTTTGTCTACATTGAAAATCTGTTGTTTCGTGTAGCCACCTTCATTAATTGTCTTAGCTAGATATTCTGGATACCTTGCTGCAGCTTCTACATCAGCACTTGCTGCTTCACCTTGCACTGTTATGTTATGGAGGTGGCTGCTTTCTTAAACCTCATGAACTAGCCTCTGCTAGTTTCACACTTTTTTTCTGCAGCTTCCTCAGCTCTCTCAGTCTTCACAGAATTGAAGAGAGTTGGACCTTGCTCTGGATTAGGCTTTCAGTTAAGGGAATGTTGTGGCTGGGTTGATCTTCTATCCAGATCACTAAAACTTTCTTCATATCAGCGACAAGGCTGTTTCACTTTCTTATCATTCAGGTGTTCACTGGAGTAGCATTTTTAATTTTCTCCAAGAACTTTTCCTTTGCATTCACAGCTCTGCTAACAGTTTGGCACAAGAGGCCTAGCTTTTAGCCTGTCTCAGCTTTTGACATGCCTTCCTTGCTAAGCTCAATCGTTTCTAGCTTTTGATTTAAAATGAGAGACGTGTGACCCTTCCTTTCACTTGAACACTTAGATGCCATTTTAGGGTTATTAATTGGCCTAATTTCAATATTATTGTGTCTCAGGGAATAGAGAGGCCCAAGGAGAGGGAGAGAGATGGGGGAACAGCTGGTCATTGGAGGAGCCAGAACACGTACATTTATTGTTTAAGTTCGCCATCTTTTATGGACACGGTTCATGGCACCCCAAAACAATTACAAGACTAGTATCAAAGATCACTGGTCACAGATCACCATAACAAATATAATTATAATGAAAAAGTTTGAACCATTGCAAGAATTACCAAAATGTGACACAGAGATACGAAATGAGCAAATGCTGTTGGAAAAATGGCACCAATAGACTTGCTTGATGCAGGGTTGCCACAAACCTTCAATTTGTAAAAAACACAATATCTGCAAAGTGCAATAAAGTGAAGTGCAATAAAACAAAGTATGCCTGTATTTGATTATATGACTTAATTCACCGACAGAAAATATTGACGGTTTTCAGCAGAATCAAAATTTATGGCAATAGAGAATAGAGGCTCTGAAACTGTAACTTGAATCACCACTCTACTCATCCTTAAGCTTGTAGAAAGCTACAAGATTGTTGAATTCAGAAATTTTGCACTAGAGGGAAATGAAATTTATTTTTTCCAGAAAATTATTTACCTGTAATGCTGATTCAAGAGGTTCCCCTGCCCCGCCCCACCCAGTTTAAAGCTATTTACTCTGGACATGATAAATTTCTTTGGTTGGCTCTATAGATATATTTTATAAATTATGAATCATTGCAGGTAAGTGAAATGAGACTTAGAGATCTTGAAAGCTGGGATGGCATATAGCCTATATTATTTTGAAGTCATTGACATTTATGATGAGCAATTCAATCAAAGCACTAACCTCTGTAGGACAACTATATTATATATTAACTGCATTTTCTTCTGGATATTTGGATGACTTGAAGAAGTTTCAGTTCTTATACATTATATTGAGTTAAAGACCATTGTGTTGCTAGAAACTACTTAAATACCATTGTGTTGGTTGAACTAGAGTTTCCACCATATTCCAAACCAGGAAGGCACCTAAGAGGACTGCTGGTTCTTCTCTTACTTTACAGATGAAGGAACAGACTGAGTGGAAGTGAGTGACCTGTCTGAGGTCACACAGCTTGCTAGTGGCAGAACTGGGAAAATAATCCAGGTTTCTACATTCCTAGTCCTGCTTTTTCCAGTATACCGTATGGTCTCTTGATACTATCTGCAACCTAGAGGGATTTCCCAAATTCATACTAGAAGTAGACCTTAATGACAACAATTATAATTAAACTTTTACATGAGCTGTTGGTTTAGAGTCTGAAAGGAGTCACTCATGCTCTGTGACTTGTATTTCTAAGTTTACATTTATTTATCTTTGTACTGTGTCATGGGGTAAACTGCATAGCTATAAATAAACTTGACAGGACTTGACCCTGAACTGGTTGCATGATGAAATGTTCTGGAATTGAAAATTCTATTAAAAAGTAGCAATTATCCTTCTGCATTTTCACAATAACCAGCACATACATGTAACAGGTATACTTTACTCAGCCATCCCTTGATTTAGGGTCTCACCATGCTTTAGCTCTGTTGGTAAAAGTGAACCCCATTTATAGTCATATCCTTCAAGATGCTATGGTGAAAACTTTGTCTAAGAATGAATAACTAGGGGCCGGCCCTGTGGCTTAGTGGTTAAGTGCGTGCGCTCTGCTACTGGCAGCCTGGGTTCGGATCCCGGGCGCGCACCGATGCACCGCTTCTCTGACCATGCTGAGGCGGCGTCCGACATACAGCAACTAGAAGGATGTGCAACTATGACATACAACTATCTACTGGGGCTTTGGGGAAAAAAAGGAAGAGGATCGGCAATAGATGTTAGCTCACAGCCGGTCTTCCTCAGCAAAAAGAGGAGGATTAGCATGGATGTTAGCTCAGGGCTGATCTTCCTCACAAAAAAAAAGAATGAATAACTAAAACAATGACAATTTTACCTTATTTTTAGGCTGTTTTTATAATTATATAAATAACTCACATTTATTGTAGAAAAAGGAGAATGTACACAAAATAGAATTGAAAACCAGAATCCCAAAACATTGAGAGAGCTACATATGTAGCTGTATATTATATCTAAATATATTTTTCACAAAAAGCTGAATCATGCTATACACATGGTTTTGCAGCCTGCTTTCTTTGGTGATAGATATCTTTTCTAATCAATAAATATCCTTCTAACATTCTTAATAACTGCATGGCGTTTCATCTTATAGGTGTAACCTAAGGTGGTTTTAATCCATCTCTCACTAGGTATGTTACCACATATGATCTATCTTTTAAAAAATTGTCAGCATGAATTTACCTTCTTCAATTCTTCCCTTGCTGGTATGTATTATCCCCTAGTCTACATCTGACACTTTAGCTGTCAGGCTACCATAAACAAACTGGGACGCCTGA